AAGCTATGAGACCGAGGCCGACCTGAGACGAACATCCAATCCGAGACTTGCCGCTGAAAAAGTTGTTCGGAACCGAGGCGCGTAGTAGCACGAGGCGATGGAGAAGGACAAAGACACCTGGGAGACCAGTTTGCTCAAATGACTGACTCACAAATAGAAAATGGAAAAATGCGATGTGGCTGTACTTGCAGAAAACGCAAAAGGCTTGTTACTGAGTCATGTTGTAAGGCGGCACTAGGCATACCTTCTAGCCAAGACGCGCATGACGTCCAGTGCTTTGTCTGCCGCATCGTCTGATGCAGGCCAGGAAAGCAAGGATGCCCAGCAAAGCAGAAGATGAAAAGCCCATATGCCTGCAGGTGTTTGCTTGAGCAATTTGCGCAGCTGAGGTATGTTGCATTCGAACCATCTTCCAGGAAATTCCTAGATTAAATCTCCTGCTGTAAGTGCCCAGCTCGAAAAAGGTCTGCGATCTGTGGCTGGACAAAGTCAGGCATACTCCAGCTGGGCATGGCAAGCCTCGGATTTGGACGTGCGCGACGGAGACCCCCAAGCACGGCTTCCGGAACATTCCAAGGCGCAGATCTGCTAAGAAGGCCAGGCTGGCAATGAGCAGGGCAATCAAAGACCTTGGCTAATCCTGGCCGCAAAAAAACAACTTGTCGCTTCCGTTTTGTTGATGAAGAGTCGAACCTCAGCTTCGATCCGGCCAAGCCGCACCAAAGAAACATAGGCATAGACTCGAAGAGGAATGAAGACCATGACAGTGGAGAGCACGGTGCAAAACATCACAGCCTGATTTGTTTAACATGCGAACAGCTGCCGAAGCCCGGTTCGCAATGCTTGCAAAGTCCGAAAGCAGTTCTAAGGAAAGGAGCGCGAAATGCTTGAACAAGCAGCGTGGAATTCATTCACACCAAGAAGGCCCTTTGCATTGTTGCCACTCCTAAGTGCAATGCGAACGCTGCATTCGAGGCTTCAATCTACAAATCCAAAAAACTCTCCGACGTGTTGGGATTCTCGCCACCAACATCTTGCCAAGGGTCATAACTAGAAAAGTCACTGCCGCAATCCACAACTCCATGGCAGTTGTGATGCCCACCACACCTTAAAGCAAGCTGAGAATGCTGAGTGACAGAAAAAAGACGAAACACGACGATTCCGTACAACTTAAATCTTCAGCCAGGTGCAACGAAGCAAGTTAACCTGGTATCGCTCAAGCATGCTGCACAGCATGTGGCTCTGCACGATTTGTGCAGTCTGATCTGGGTAGCACACGCCGGCCCCACCTCGGGTTGCTGCTCATCTCATGTGCAAGGCATCGATGAATCAACTCGCAACTCGTGATCCATTTGGCCACTACACGACTTGCTGCCCAAGACACGGTCCAAAGGAAACCTGTCGGGCGCACATCAGGCAATCGGCCTATGCTGAAAGCCCGCGCTGACTGGGACCAACTCAGACAAGCTAAGGAAAAGGTCCGGGGAAATGCTGTGATCGCGCCTCCGCCAGCCAGGCATAGTCCCTGCAGGCGGGAGGCGTGTCCGTCTTGTGCCGCACCGCATCCAGAGACTGCGAGGGAAATGCAAAAGCGCATCCAAAGCAACGCAAGTGGGGTGACACAAGCTCGCCTGGCCAATGAGGCAAGCGGTGAAGGCAGTCCTAGGCAAAAAGGTCGCAGCCCACCGGAAATCGAAGTGATCCACGCCTGCGATTTGACGGTGGGTTCGGCTGTTCGGACGGGGAAAAGACTCCGTGAATCTAGCTGAGCATGCGCAATCCACGCCTTTGTGCGCAATCACGATCAGTTTTTTCCTCTCCCTCTAGGTCGCTGCAGGTGGGGGGAAAAAATTCGCCGGCGCAGCTCTGGGTGGCCGGACACCAGGACCACCAAGGCCAGCAGCAGCGCCGCGCTGTAGCTGATGAGTCGGAAGGCAAATGGCACCGAGAGCACACCTCAAAGGCATCAAGCACCGCGGTCTGATCAGTCAAGCACTTCCTTCGACATTATTTTCCTCCGTATCTCTGCGCTGAAACAGCGGACTGGAGTGATCGCAACGGCCGCTGGGCTCAAAGACAAGAAACAGATCCGTCAAGCACTTGCCGAGGCTTCGGCCACCACCGACCATGGTGTTGGACAGATTGAAGATCGTCTCACAAGCACTCATATCCTGAGCAAAGCTTTTGGTGCGCCACTTATTTTTTCAACCCGAAAAGTCACCAAAAGCCAAAGGGAAGATGGCAACTGCCCTCCTCCGTCTCGTGCACCTCCGCATCCACCTCCTGCAATGGCAGAAAGACATCCCTGCCTAACCAACATGAAGCACCAACCAGCTGAAGGAATCCCAACCTTTGCATCAAAACATGGCCCCGATGTCTGGCAGGTGAAACCGGGTGACACAATGACGCAAGCAAAGAAAGATACACATATTTTTCCGCGCGTGCCCCGTATACAGGAAAAAATGGTGTCCTTGGCAGCCTCTGGCAGCACCAAATCCATGAGCAGCTTCTCATCTGCAGACCTGAGGCAAACTCCCAGGTTCCCGGCTGGGCTCGGCTGAGATGGTTTACTCCACACGGGGGTTTTCAGACCACAAAAGGGGGTACCAACTCCAAAAACGACAGACCCACATGGACGTATGGACGTTGACTATGCATCGAGTGGCTTGAAGTGAAGCGGCGGAGTGAAGTTGGCCATGTCCGAACCTTGCCGGGCTGGTCGGATTTGTTGACCCGTTGCTTGGATTGTTAACGGAATCCAAAATGAACTTCCCCACCATATTGAGGCTTCCCCTTTGTTTTGGTAAAAGGAAACCAAAATGAACACAACTATTTTCAGGCTTTCCCTAAACTCAGCTATTGAAAGGGGTGGCCCACATGGAAAGGGGTGGCCAAACATGAAGCCAACCAATTTGAGGCTTTCCCTTACCTCGCAGGCCACAAATCCCGGAAGTTGCGAAGAAAAAAAGGTCTGGCCATAACCCTCAACCTCAGCCCTTGAGCGCTCGCTCGATCTTGCTCGATCTCCGAGGCTGAGGCTCACCCGTGCCCAGGTGATGGGTTCGATGCGGGAGGGGGAGGATGCCCTCCTGCCAGAGGCGAAGCCCTGGGACCCCTCTTTTTAGTCGAACTCCAAATGGAAAAACGGCCAAACGGCAGAAGAAACGGTTTGGGGTTTCTGCAGCCCCGTAGGTAGAATGAAAAAGGAAGCTGCGGGTTTTAAATGCAGGTTGCTTAGCATGAACGGAACCACAAGCACGGAGAAACAAAAAGAGCGTGCCCACGGTGAAGCGAACGTGCCAGCCGGCTCCTAAAGAAGTCCGAGTCTGTGGATGCCTGGACATTGCTCTACCACTGAGGCTCCGTGTGTGATGCTCCCTCCAAAGAAACACCACAAAGATTGCCATCAAGACATGCTTTGCGCACACGAGCGCGCCTCGCCAAGAAGCGCAGAGTCCATGGTATTACGACATAGTTGTCGGTTGCTGCTTGTTGTCGTGGTTGTTGCTACTGATGGTGTTATAGCAATATGCTGCCTGGCTGCCTATTAAATGCAGCGGGTTCTGAAAAGTTGAATGCCTGTCGTTCTAGACCTGTGCCAAATGATGCATTCTTTGAACGTCTGCCCCAGGCACATAGCAAATGCTCATGATTAACCGTGTGTTGCAGGTACCACAAATGCCTGGTTCACAATCATCGCTTTGAGAATCAATGCGTCAGATGCTCAGCGTTTGGATATCCACCATGTGGCAGCGCACAAGAGGCAAACCTGCCTGCAGGAGCCATTGCAGCGACTGTTCCCAGTTGCGGTCGTCTCCATAGCTGTTGACCACAGCTGGCGCGGACCGATGTTTGCAAACGGTGATGGAAAAACAACGCCGTCCTCTTGAAATGGGTCCGAATTTTAATTGGGGACCCTTTAGTGGACATCAGAATTCAGCGGGGATCCATATCCACCAACCACTTTGGAGGGGGTTCCAACTCTTGAAATTCATCGCCAGCGTCCGCTTGCCTTCGTAGAGTCGCCGGCTCGGCGTCAGCTTGGCTCGGCTGGCCTGAGGCTCTCAATGGCCTTCACGCCAGGCCTCTCCAGCCAGCCTCTTGCAGGATCTTTGCTGCGCGGGCCCCACCACCCTGCCTAAGACGTCTGCATCGGGACGAACGCACTTGGGTTGACCCAGAACCCTGTAAGGAAATACGAGGCGGCCGCAACCATTTATGGACAGGGGATTGTCCCAAACTAACCTAACCATCTACCCGGGTTTTGAGCCTGTGGCTCACTTGGGGATATTAGCCCGAGAACGCAAAGCGCCTGGAAAGCTCCGCTGCCTCTTCAAACGCCTCAAAAGGTTGGAAGTGTGACAGTGACTTCATGCCCAACGCTGTACCGCTCGGCGGTGTTGTTTGCCGGCCTCTAGCTGCAAAGCACGGCGGTCTCGCGCCTCTCAAAAGAAAAAGAGAGTCTCACTCCAGTCCCACACAAAAAAACTCAGCCTTGGCCAGTAGGTAGATGGCTTCTTGCCACCCAGAGTCCTTTACATCTGCGACATCTCTGCATCCAGACATCTCGTATCTGAATAAGCCCGTCCTGCGCGTTGCTTGCCCTGAGGCCCTGGCACGAGCAAAGACAAATCAAATGTCGATGTATCATGTACATATATGTGTTTGTGCGGCAAATTTCGAACCACGCCCGACCCCTTGCCCAACAAAAAAAAAGGAAAAAAAAAGAAATCGCATTGAGGAAACCCATCGGGCTCAGGCTTCATTGCCCCAGAGCTCGCCCTGCCATGCCTGCAGCTCTCGCGGCCTGCAGCTCAGAAGCGCTAAAGCAGACTCGCTTCGAGACTTGAAGCCTGCAGACTGGGATTGGTAGGCAACACCCGAACACGGAAACACCAGAAACAGAAGACCCCAAAGCCCGGATTCCAGCGATCGAATGCACATATGCGGCATGAGCTGCGAGCAGCTTCTGGTCACAGTGTGCCGATTGCCAAATCTGTCCGTCACTCGCGACCCGCCTGTGCCAGAGACCAGGCGCCTACACAGCAATCAACCGGCGGAGTTTCCAGATCCAATTGCCCTTAATGTTAACCCGGATTAATAAACCCCTGGTTGATTAATAGGGGGGTGTCCCCTTTTAGTGGGGATTCATCACTTTTGGAGGGAACACCTCCCTAATAATGGGGACGGGCTTAATCCTAGGTCAACCCTATTGCCATGTTGCGGACTCACCGCGCGCACCTGCGCGCGGCCGAATGCCAACCTTGCAACAGGCACAAAATGCTGAAGCTTGTGCAAAACCCAATCGTGACTCATGCACACATACAGTGAAAAAAGATTGCCCGACCAAACGGCTAACACCAGGATGCAAGAGAAGGCCAACCACCAAACCGCGAAGGCTGAACAGCATGTCAGGGAAAACAACGAGCCTGGCCAAAGTAGATGCCAAATCATGCACAGCCACAAACCAAGCAAGCGCCCTGGTTCAATGAGTTCTTGGGCATTCTCTCATTGCTTTGCTCCAAACCTTCTTCAGCCAAGGGACATGTCTCAGCCACATGGCCGGGAAGCTTTTAGGGAGGAATGCAATCTAATCTTCAAGCCATGTGATCTATTTGTGTGTGTGTTTGTGCAAAATGCTTATGTACATACAATTCCGCGCTTGCGTGTGCGTGCGTGCTTCACAAGGATCACATTCCGCGTCTGCTGCAACTCTCCCGCGCGAGTCGCACTGGAGTCGCCTTTCCAATGATTGGCCGATTCGTGATTCTTCCGAGCTGTGCAGCCACAAATCTTCCATAGCCATAGGCATGACAAAAACACACAAAGGATCAACTTTGACCGCCTGGACCTGAATCCGCCAACAACGGGCAGCGTGTTGGACATGAGAAATGCTCCTCACCTCTTTACCTGTTACCCCTCCCCTTACCCCTCCCCAGGGGCACGGTTTCAGACTATTGTGGGGGGGGGGGGGGGTCCACGTACCACGCGGTGATTCCAAGACGTTCCACTAAATCCTTTCTTTTGAGGGCGGTGCGGAACACAGTTGCGTAAAAACATTGGGGTGTTCGATTTTCTCCGCTTTTGCATCCTCAGCACCTCCTGGGCAACATCGCCAGCATCACCTGCATCATCCGCATCAGCGCCTGCCAAGGATGCGGATGATGCAAGTGATGCTGGGGATGTTGCCCATGCTGGTGAAGGAACATCTGGAAATGAAGGAAAATGCATGGAAATGAATGACATGAAGTGAAATGAAAGAAAGGGAACAAAAAAAGACATCAAGGGACATGAGCCGAAGTGAAGGAAAGTGAAGGGAAATGAAGATTACGTATATACATATATACATACAGACATACATACATACATACATACATACATACATACATACATACATACATACATACATACATACATAAATACGTACATACATACATACATATATACATACATACATATATACATGCATACATACATACATACATACATACATACATACATACATACATACATACATACATACATACATACATATGTACATATATACATACATACATATATACATACATACATACATACATACATACATACATACATACATACATACATACATACATACATACATACATACATACATATATACATACATACATATATACATGCATACGTACATACATACATACATACATATATACATACATACATACATATATACATACATACATACATACATACATACATACATACATACATACATACATACATACATACATACATACATAAATGGGTTGACATTCCTCTTCAAATTACAAAATTCATCCTTCGAGGGAACGGGGGGAAAAAGATTCTAGGGGGGGAACTCGGGAGAAGATCGGGGGGAGGGAAAGATCTTGCCTTCGGGGGGAAAGCGGGGGAAAGGATCTCAACAGGAAAGTGGGGAAAAGATCTTAGGAAGGAAAAGGGTTGGGGGGAAAAGGCTTAGAGGGGGAAAAAGGGGGGGAAAGGATCTCAACAGGGAAAGTGGGGAAAATATCTGAGGGAGGAAAGGAAGAAGATCTTGGGTGGAAAAGGCCTTAGGGGGGAAAGGGGGGAAGGGTCTTCAACAGGGAAAGGAGGGAAAACATCTTAGGGAGGAAAAGGACGAAGATCTTGGGGGGAAAAGGCCTTAGGGGGGAAAGGGGGGGGGGAAGGATCGGAAAGGGGGGAAAGGATCTCAACAGGGAAAGGTGGCAAAAGATCTTAGGGGGGGAAAGGGAGAGGAAGGGGGGGAAAGGATCGCAACAGGGAAAGGGGGGAGGGGGGAAGATCTTAGGGGGAACGGATCTCAACAGGGAAAGGGGGGAAAAGATCTTGGGGAGGAAAGGGAGAAGATCTGGGGAAAAAAGGGAAAGGGGGGAAAAGATCTTAGGGAGGAAATGGGAGAAGCTCTCAGGGGGGGAAAGGCCTTAGGGGGGAAAGGGTGGGAAAGGATCTCAACAGGGAAAGGATGGAAAAGATCTT